TCCTCAGTTCCAACCCTGAGAACAAAAGTGAAGATGAATAACAATGCTATTGCTCTGTTGCAGGGATGATGTATTTCAAATGCTGGGCTCCTTCCAAGGTGTTATTAAAGTTCTCTCAAGCGTTGCTACTAAAAAAAAAAAGTCAAAAGAACTCATGTTATTTATTGTTTCTCAAAATCCATTGCTCTTCAGGTTGTGCCTAAGTTAACACATCCATTTTCTTTTGGAAGTCACTGCACAATCCTCTGATAAATGAACATAAAAGACATTAGTAGATCCAAGTAATGAAAACTCGATTCCAAACCTTCGTGAATCTGACAAAGAGACCAGAGATTTTAAAACAATGATAGTATGTAAATAAAATGCAGATCCAAACAGAGCTCCTATAGAATGTGTGACAAGTGGTCTTCTAGTCTTTATTAAGGAGACAAGCAGCAGGGTCCAAGGCATATTTTAGGAAGATGTTAGGTGAGCTCAATATTTCTCTAAAATTATCAAACCTACTGATACCTAGTGCTTTCATCTATAATGCAGTAAGTGAATAGGGGAATAAATAGGGAGAATGTTATAGGTGGAAAAGAACACAAACAATAATAGCAGTAGAAGTAATAATGAACATCTATGCAGTGCTTAACCCTGGGGTCAAAGATGCTAAGAATTTTACATGGATTATGTCATTTAATCCTCCCAAATAACTTTCTGAGGTAGGCAGCCTAAACTGTCAGAGAATTATTTTAACTAATTCTTAATGACAAGATGAGCCCTTCATGGTAGATAAGTCAGATTCTCCGCACCTCTCTTTTAAAATGCATCTGAATTCATTGAAACATAGAGATGAAAGAAAGCTTCATGGCCAGGTGTGGTGGCTTACACCTGTGATCCCAGCACTTTGATAGGAAAAGGTGGGTGGATCACCAGAGGTCAGGAGTTTGAAACCAGTCTGGCCAACATGGTGAAACCCAATCTCTACTAAAAGTACAAAACTAGCTGGGTGTGGTAGTGCAACCCTGTAGTCTCAGCTACTCGGGAGACTGAGACAGGAGAATCGCTTGAACTGGGGAGGTGGAGGTTGCAGCAAGCTGAGATCGCACCACTGCACTCCAGCCTGGGTGAGACACAGCAAGACTCCATCTCCAAAATAAAAATTAAAAAAAAAAAAAATTAGAAAAAAAGAAAAAAACCTTCATGATCAATTGATCTCATATATATGTATATATGTTAAGTATGATTTGTAAAGGAGTAAAAATATTAATTTGTCTAGGTTCATTAATTTCCAATGTATAAAACTGAGGTTCAAACATTAAAAAGATTTACTAAGATCATAGTTGTCAGAGACACCTCTCTCCCAGTCTGTTGATACTTTCACCACACATCATGACCTTACCTGGCAGTGAAGGAAGCTATGTGCTATTACTCTCATTTCTAACAACACTATTCACTCAAACAAGATTCACTCTATACAAAGAATCTTTGTAATCTATATGAGTGGGTTATGTTTACATGGACTAACTATTAACCTGCAAACTGCTCATTAAGCTACAAACAAAAATTCATCTCAAATTTACCACAATGTCTTATAATTCAAAAGATCTATGCAATACATTTCCAAATTATCAGAACAATATTTGATATAAATGGGGTAAAAGAGATACACAACACAAATTAACATGGATTAATTCAGTCTTTATACTGAATCTGTTGGGTTTTTTAAAAACAACGAATTCATTCATACTTAATGTTTGACATCTGATAAGGAAAGACGATGATAAAAGGAAGTTGAGTTCAGGGGAAGATGAAAACACAGGAATACTATAAGGGGAGCGGGGAAGAAAATAGACAAGCAGAGAGAAGAACATGTGAGGCATGGATGATGACTTAGAGAAAATGCAGAGGAAACCAAGTGATGGAATCAAAACTTGGTCAAGCCATTGGAAGTCTAACCTCAAGACTGTTGAAGCCTGCCACTGATAACTGCGTCAGATGCCCCTCAGTGACATGCTTGCTTCTGATGACCAACCCTTGCATCTTTACAGCTCATTACAGCAAGATAAAGATGTAAATACTTTGGAGGCTAGGACAATGGCTTTCCATTCATTTCCATCTCACTAAATCATTCATGAGCGTTTTCTACCTCTAGTCATACAATTAACCTGTGACTGATAACAGAAAATGAGAAAGATTATGGTTTATCAAAAGCATTGCAGTTCAACCTGCAAATGATTAACTGTCATACAGCTACATGATTAGCTCTTGATATTTTTTATGGCAGACATAGTGGTTCATTGGTATTAAATGCACAGACAAAACAGTTAAATTATAAGAGCCCTCAATGTTAATTAAGGAATAAATATAAATTATTTTAAAATAGCATTTTCTTATAAAAGCCAACTAAAAAATTAGAGACTTTAGACATCACAGAGGTACACATTAACAAGAACAGCTATTATGGGGAAAATAATAAAGACAAAGTAAAATTTATCAACAAAAACAATTTTTACATATTATTTTTCTTCTTTCCATGTTTTAATAAACTGTAAATGTGAAATTTGATGACATACTAATTTTAAAATATTATTCATCTAGGTAAGATTGTATGTGACAACTTTACTGACTATAGTATCAATACGGGGCAGCTGTAACCTCCCAAATGTCCCATTCTGGCAAACTCAGGTGAGTAAGCAGAAATAAATATGAGGATGAGTAGATTTCTATCCTTATTTTAACTAAAAATACTGCCTATTACTTTATTTTTAAGCTGCCACTAACATGTTTAAATGATAATTGCATCTCCTCAATGAGCACAGTTCCTTATTATTGGAATTGGCAGGGGGCCTTGACATTTGAGTCATCATTTCATTATGTCTATTTCTTACCCTGGTATACAAATTAAATAGAAATAGAAGCCAAATGAAATATAAGGGGAAAAAGCCTGAAGCAGTAATTTTAAAATGAATTAATTTTTCCCAAATCGATAAAATATATAAAGCAACAACATTGATAATAATATATTCTAGTTCGGACATATTTACAAAAATACCAACATCAATTCTAAAGGCCAAAAATGCTTCAAATTCTCCTAGCCAAATATTGTACTTCTGTAAAACAGAAATGAGAGTTTTGATAGTCCCTAAATTAAAGAGAGAGAATAACTCCTTTTAAAACAACTACAAATGTGAACAAAAATATACATTTAACAAGTTTCTTCCATTCTAAAGGACTTCAAAATGGGTAGCAATTATTAAGCATACATATAATATACATATGTGACAATTTGTATTTAAAACATCATATGATCAAATAATACTAATTCATTCAGACTAAAATATCCAAATATGCCAAATAGGAATCCAGGTCTATCCTTATTTTCAAATCACTGAACTTATATGATAAAAACGTTAATTTCCTAAACCACCTGATTCAGTCATATTGAATAACTGTGCATCTTTCTATCATTCTCAATTTTTTTTTCTTTTTTTTTTTTGAGAGAGAGTCTCACTCTTGTCGCCCAGGCTAGAGTGCAGTGGCACAATCTTGGTTCACTGCAGCCTCTGCCTCCGGCGTTCAAGCGATTCTCCTGCCTCAGCCTCCTGGGTAGCTAGGATTACAGGCACCCACCACCACACCCAGTTCATTTTTTTGTGTGTTTTTAATAGAGATGAGGTTTCATCATGTTAGCCAGGCTGGTCTCAAACTCCTGACCTCAGGTGATCCACCCACTTCGGCCTCCCAAAGTGCTGGGATTACAGGTGTGAGCCACCGCACCCAGTCATCCTTCCCTAATTTTTTTTAAAAAACTTCATTGAACTTCAAAATTACAAAAATCATCAATCATGAAACGAATCCTATATAGAATCCTATATAAAATCTTCAAGAACACATTAAGCGCTGCTTTCAAAGGGCTATTTCCTCATTTATTTATATTACTCCAGAATATGTATAAATTATTTTCACTGAGTCTTTAATTACTTCCACAACTCTTCTTTCCTTTAGCCCAGAGCAACCTGTCATTTCTAATAGCCAATAGCTTCCCCCAAATGCTTGGAAACAGGCTGAATAGCCTAAAAGAACTTTATTTACCCTGGTACAAAATGTTGAAAAGACACTTTACTGGAAACTGAATGACTGTACAAATTTCTGCCTGGAAATTAATGTTATTTTTTCCCTTTAATCACTGAAAGTATATTACTAAATGTAAAAAGTCATGGTTTATTTTTCTTTATATTTTATTATCTATTTTAATGTTGACTTTTAAAAATATTTTACCTGAGGGACAAAATGTTCATTTAAACCTAAATATTTTAAGATTTATTTCTGTTATCTTTTCATCAATTGTTCATAATTTATAATCCAGATTTCCCAAAAGAATTCAAAGAAATCCACAAAAAATTTCCTAGGCTTCACTTTATTCTCTCAACTAGTGATCATGTTCTAAAGCAATGAATCTCTATTTTAATACTAAAATTTAAATAGAAAAGAAGTCTTGAGATAGTCAATCCTCCACTTCTGGGGAATACATTATTCTGCATATTAAGACAAAAATAGGATGTAAACCAGATGTTCCTAGATTATGAAATTTAGAAAAGAACATATTCAAAGTGAAGGTAACTTTTAGCATCTATATTTAAAGATACTGCAGTCATGCCCCACAATGTTGAAATGCTATATTTCTTATAATTTGACTAGAGTCAGTGGAAATATTCATGAGTTTATATTATCAGGTTTTTAGTGAGTTCTATCATTTTTGTAATTGCTATAGCTAGTATTAATAAATGTCTTCTTTTTATATGCTGAAATAAATTAATGGAGGAGGTAGACACTATGCAAAATGGCTGGGAATGGGGCCAAATCTTTTTACATACATCCAGGGACCAGTAATCTTCTAAATGGCACTTTGAGCTCTCTTGCCTAAATAATTACAAGTACAGCCACCATATAATTTACTGAAATAATTATCCACTCTTCTGGTTCCTATCTCCCATCTCAAGTCCATAGCCACTTACCTTGTCTTTATTTTCAGAGCCAGAAGCCTCAGGCTTGGTTCTAATCACAAACGGGGTAGACAGTCGCAGTAGGACCCTTTCAAAGGTGGCATTAACCTTTGGAGACACAATCTCGAAGCAGTCCTCAAACTTGAGCACTTTGTGAGTGTCACATCGAAGCTGCTTCCTTAGACCTTCCCCCAGCTGAAGGACTGACATGCTGGGGTCAAACATCAAGTGGAAAGGGAAGGCTCTGCAGAAGGTGTTGATGCTAATTCTGAGGTCCGCAGGAACTTGGGAGGTTCCCTGTGGAAGGTTCTTCGTGATATTAGTATTTTCACATTCTTTGATAAGGAAAGTAAGACAGCTACAATTGCCTGGGTTTGAAACATCAGAGCATAGCTTCTCATTTGCAACCTGTTCCACTTCCACGTCCAGCCGATAGATCTTCTTTCCTGCAGCCTTAATCATCCCCAGCATTGCAAACCCCACAATATGGTGAGGGTGGAAGTAGTGGAGCATGAGAGTGCCTTCAGGAAGCTCTCTGCATAGGAAAGAGGGTGACTCCAGAGTGGCCTGTTTTCCAAAAGAAGTTCTAATGTGTTCCAACAAAGCATCAAAGCCGTTAAAAAAGTCCTGCAAAGTGCCACCTACAGCTCGAAGGACTCTCTCATTCTCATGAAAGCATATATTAAAGAACTCTTCACCAAATCTTTCTTGAATTTCCTCAAACTTCAAACCTAGAGGTAAATGGGAAGCAAATGTTAGTGAAGTCTAATATAAAAAATTGAATTTATAGCTTTTTAAGTGCTCATCAAAAGAGTAACTACTGAGTGAAGTAACACAGGTTATTTCTCTTGGATCCACAAATTTTCACATAGGTTAATTCACTCATCTTGAATCAGAAAAAGTAAATTTCAGTTCATCTTCGGGATGCTTCTAAAATGTTAATGAACATGAACCTTTGTTTGTTTTTTAATAGACTACATATTTTTAGACCAGTTTTAGATTCACAGCAAAACTGAGCAGAAGGCACAGTTATTTCCCATATCTCTCTGCCCCCACACACGCACAGCCTGCCCCATTATCACATCCCCCACCAGTGTGGTACATTTATTACAATCTGCGAACCTACATGACGCATGATTATCATCCAAAGTCCATGGTTTACATTAGGGTTCACTCTTAATATTGCATATTCTGTGGGCTTAAACAAATGTATAATGATATGTATACACTTATCATATCACCTAGAGCATTTCACTGCCCTAAAAGTCCTGTTTATCCCTTCCTTCCCCCTAACTCTCAGAGCATCAGCTTTTTAAATGTTGCTAATCTAGCTGTTCACCTTTCAATAGCCTTGCAGTAGTTATCACAAATAATATATTTTTCTTTTTCTTAATGATTTCCCCATTCTTCATAGAATATCCAAGTTGCCTACATATTATGTCCATATACCATCCATGTTATCATCTTACTTCTTATTGAAATGCATGTATTAAGTGGAAAATATAAACCAGAGAGGAAATCTATGGTACATGAGCGGGGAGAGGCATCAAGCTATCTGGTGGAAACAAAAGGCTCACATTAGCATTCTCAGGGAAAGACACGCAGGTCAGCTAGACCCCAGGGAAAAGGAGACAAAACAAGAAAATAATAATGGCAGAACTGTGGAATGATTTGCATTCTTTCACCCACAAAAGTGAGGGCAGCCAAGAATGGAGTAGGAATCTGATGAGATAAGTGTGCACAATGTATTCCATAGTAATAAGAAGCAGAATCACATGTGATCACAAGATCCCCGCTTGAGGATGATCTGAGGAAAAATGAGGGAATTTATGTACCAAGGAGGACTATAACACATATAAAAGATTTTGGCCTTCATATTAAAGACAGCTTCTACCTAAAGTCACTCTATTGCTTCTACTTTGACATTGGTTGAAATCAATACATGTAGTTTACATATTCATATTTTCTTACCCCATTTACTTCATCTCATTTGGAAGTCCTGCAAATCAGGCAGGACTGGGAAAAGAAGGTCACTTTGCTAGCGCCCCATTAGAGTACAGAGCAATCTAGGCTGTCTACAGCTTAGTTGCTTTCCTACCTTTATCATGCCCTGAGTGTTCCTCCCAGCCAGAAGTGAGGCAAATGAACAGAGTGAATAATATTATTTTTAAAATAGTCAAAGCACATCTAATATTCTTTAAGAGCTTACTGTAGAGTCTAAAATTTGTGGTAGCCAAGAAATCAGTTTGACAAAGAACTTCTTAAAATCAATGTGATAGGAAAATAAGTAGAAAACCTAAGTGAGAAAGAGTCCCTTTATTAATAAGCATTTCATATTGATTTTGGTTTCATGAATTGGATGCTCAAGACTTGTCGGGAAAGTCACCTATTAAGATAAAAATATCACCACTCATCTCACATTGCCAGGTTACAAGACTGCTCTTCAACATATGTTGCATTCACTAACAATAATGGCAGCCAGAATTGATAATACCAGTACTTATCTGTCCAGTTCTCTAGTGTAAAAGAGAAAACAAGATAGATAATATTCACTGCCATTAGGCTCCTGTTCTGACTGCTCTGTTGAAACTGCTTTCATAAATACTTAAACCAATATATACTGTTTTGTCCTTATCTTACTTAACCTTGTTTGCTGTTTTTCCTTTAATTTGACACTATTAATCAACCCTTCCTCCTAAAACTCTCATCCCTTTTGGCTTATCAAACCATACTCTCCTGGTCTGATTACTCTGTTTTAACACTAATTCTCACTGCCTTCACTAAAACTTCTTTCTATGCCAAATCCTTACATCACCATCACTATGTTTTAACTAGAAAACTCTAACATACAAGTTAAATTTATATACACATTCAATGACAGTCCTTTGTTGCTATGAAATCTTCCAGTTATGACATTCTTATTAAAAACTAAATACAGAATAAATAAAAATTCCTGTAAACTGACCATATATGCTGAACTACAATATTCCATATGCCACTGAAAATATTTCATGGATTGCTTCTAAACTTTGAAGAATTGTATTTTCAAAAGACTTCGGGTCCACGTGCATTGAAGAGAAAAAGAGAAGTTTTTCCAACTTGCATTTCTCATAACATTGAAAAGGCCCTCACAGTTATGGTGCACACAAATGTAAAGACAATACAGTGTAAGCTTATGTTCTGTGTCTAATGCCAGGATCCCGAAGAATCATCCAGAAAATAACAACTAGGTAAGTTCACCATAGGCAACAAACTACTCTTTGCGCAGTTCTATATAAACCCGTAATATTCAATTAACGAATAAAGATTTTTAGTCCCAGAACTGTTAAACTGCACAAGATCAGAAAGGAAGAAAAAACTATTAGATTTGAAAATATTAAAACTAAGAAAAGACTACTTCAACTTTTACAAATATGCTACAAGTCAACAGCCAAGATTTTAATTTTAAACCTTAATCTCAAAATTCAGAAAGCACAGACAAAGTAATTCAATTCAGACAACTGATGCAATTCTGACTCCCAAGGTTCCGCCTACGATTGACGCAAACTCCCTACTTACAGTAAATCACTTGAAACCTATAGACAATGCTCATCTCCTCACATCACAAGATTCTATGACAGCTTGACATCTGGGTCTATAAGAATACATTTCCTCAAGGGGGAAAATTCATAACAAAACTGTTCTTATTAATGGGTAAGTTAAGTTAGAATTTTTAACTACTGTTAATTCACCTGTTTTAAAAAAGGTGAATAGCATAAATGCTGGCATCCGTTAGCTGTAAATGATATAGAATCTGTTCCTTCACAATCTAATCCTGTTGTCTCTCATCTGCTTTCCCACCCCACCTCAGATGGCATTTCTTGAGGACGAGGATCTTGCCCTATTTATGTCTGCATATCTATCACTGGCATAATGCCTGATCCCTGGAGAATAAGCATTGTTTCATAGAAATTAAGCATTCAGCTAAGTATTTGTTTGGTGAATATTACTAACCTTTTAAGGTTGCACTTGTGCCACATCTAAGGATATGAAAACAAAAAGACACGTGATTTTCTCTCGTGGGCCCCTACAGAACATTAAATTACATTATGGTTGGGCTACAACAAGGGTACACAGGAGTACCCATGGAGGTAGAGGAAAGAGAGTATCTGCCTCTCCTCAGGGAGACAATGTTTGAAGGGAGACTTGAATAAAAGAGCAGGTTAGGCAGGGCACAGTGGCTCATGCCTGTATACCTAGCACTTTGGGAGGCTGAAGCAGGCTGATCGCTTGAGCTCAGAAGTTGAAGACCCAACCTGGCCAACATGGTGAAACCCCATATCTACAAAAAATACAATTAGCAGGGTACGGTGGTACAAGCCTGTAGACCATAGTCCCAGCTACCTGGAAGGCTAAGGTGGGAGGATCACTGGAGCCCAGGATGTTGAGGTCACAGTGAGCCGTGATCATGCCACTGCGTTGAGCCTGGGCAGCGGAGGGAGACCCTGTCTCAAAAAAAAAAAAAAAAAAAAAAGGCAGTTGGTGGTCCCAGCCTGGGCAACATGGCATAACCCTGTCTCTACTAAAAATACAAAAAAACAGCCAGGCATAGTGGTGCAGGCCTGCAGTCCCAGCTACTCTGGAGGCTGAGATGGGAGAATCACCTGGGCCCATGGAAGTCTAGGCTGCAGTGAGCTGTGACTGCACCACTGTACTCCAGCCTGAGTGACAGAGTGACACCCTGTACTGAAAAATTACTGTACAAGAGTGTAAATGTCAGGAAGCATTCACTGGGGAGCCATCTTTGGGAGGAGAAAGAGGATCATGAAAAATAACTAACTGGTACCAGGTTTAATATCTGAGTGGTGAAATAATCTGAACACCAAACCCCCCATGACACAAGGTTACCTATACAACAAATCTGCACATGTACTGCTGAATTTAAAATAATTTTTTTAACCTGTGAATTTAAAAAAAATTAAAATTTAAAAATTAAAAACATATATCAGATATAAATTGTAATAATGTGAAATATGTATAATAAAGATGAAGCCAACCCCAATATGAGTACTCTGAAACAAATTTTTTCACCTAATAACCACATCTAACAAGTGCAATATCACAAAAGTACACTGCAAAACTATCAATGTTACTCCTTCCTTTCAAATCACAAAGCACATGTCCGTGTCTTTCTTATAAAATAGCAGATAGTCCCTTGTAGTATTTGTTCCATGATCCTTCTATTTTCCATAAACATATTTAGAGGAACAACCTCTAAAAACACTATAATGTAGAATGAGAAAAAAGAAACCAATGGAGGAAGGACTATAACTGAATGAATTACAGAGAGACTTTCCTCTGAATCATGGAAAACCCTAAATCTACAGATGGAAAAAGCATAAATTGCAACCAGAATTGATAAGAAACACACACACACACACACACACACACACACCCTAAGAATATCTGGTTGGATTCCTGGAAAAAAAAAAAAAAAAGATAAAGAAGATTTTTTAAGTTGCAAGAAAAAACAAGTAATTAAAAAAATATTTACATTTCATCTGCAACAATGAAAGCTAAATGATGAGAGAAAAATACAGGTGAGATACTGAGAGAACTGAAACCTAAAGGTTTATGACCCAGAAGAGTATCTGAGAAAGATTCATAGATTCCATCACTCAGTGAAACACCTTAGAAAATGAAAAAAAAAAAAAAATAATAATCGAACAACAAATCACTCAGAATGAAGGAG